AGATTCTTGTAATCGGTTCCCCCTTTCCATCTCGCCCTCCAAAATGAAGAATTTGATGTGATTCTTCAACATTAGCTTTAGTGGTTGGCGCATAGATTCGCATAATGGTTGTGTTAACTGGACTTCTTGTAGGAGTAGACAGAATTGTACTTCATGATGGATCTTGAAAGGTCCTTTTTGACAATGAATGCAACATCCTTCCTCCTGAAGTTATTACCAGCATAGTAAACCATATGATTTTTTTGATTCAAAATGGCCAATACCGGTCCATTTCAGCTCATGATTGCATAGGATATACATCTTTATGTGTTCAATTTCATTTTTGACGACTTCTTATTTTCCTAGATTCATCCTTCGTACATTCCGAGTTATATTTTTAATGGAAGCTCGCAGTTGTTTTTTCTTTGAATTGTGCCCCATCAGCAAACAAAGACCCTGAAAGCTTCACTCTATCTACTTCATTACGGTTGACTCGACTGAGGAGGCCGCTCTTCTTCAGTCCGATTTTAAACGACTTCCAACCTGAGGTGCTCACCTTCTGACAGTATGTTTGGCTGTGTTCCACAGCTATCTGTGGTTTACCCCTCCACAGGGGGCCGCCTGTTCCTTCTTTCTTGTATGATGTTCCACTGAAACCGGTTAACCACAGGAACCTACCTCTGCTGGTCTTTGAAATACCAGAGGCAACATGCCAGTCACCACAGTATGACAACTGACAGACACCTGGTGCTGAATTGAACTAGTCCATGATATCCTCTGAAGTTGGTTATTTAAAAAAATCAGGTTAATGAGACTAAGCTATGTCTATTCCTGAGAGAACTTGCTTGCAATCCACTGATTGCAGTATCCAGATACTGCAGATTTTGTTTAGAATAAACCCAGGCACAGATTAATTGGGATCCTCTTAACAACGCTGTTTGGTGTGGCCTCATATGTAGTTCACAAAGCGAGGGAGTATCTTACTCGTTCAGCGAATCTACAGCTATGAGAACAGGACTTATAAACTCAACTGAACATTCCCTGATCCCCTCACTACGTGCCATGCAGTGTGCTAGGTTCTGACACCAGGACAGGGTTGTCTCCCTGGGCTGACTACTTAGTTCTTTTTGCAGTCTGACTTTCAAACAAAACAAAACACACTCAAAAACAAAAGGAAGGAAGGACGGACCCAGAAGTGCCCCTCACCTCGGCTCTCACTATCCTGTCCACGATCGTCTCCAGTGTTTCCAGCTTGCTGCACTTCACCACACCTTCAAAATACTGCGACCGGTGCTGAAGGGCCTGGGTCACCGTGATATCTAGGTTATTATATGTTTTTTCAGCAGCAAGATTCTGGAATTAAGTAAGAGAAAGAAATACATCCTTTTTCCCCTCAGTTCACGCGAGTGACCAACATCTGTTAAATTTAAGGCGATCTCGACTAAAGAACAAAAACTAATATTCATCTAAGTTTATTACCACCAGAAGTTCTCCTATATTAATACCATCAAACAGTCCCTTTTGCACTTTTTAGCATGCCTCTACTGCTATAATTTCAAAGCCCTATCAATACTAAATTAAAGATTCTGTATTATCGGGGGTGGGGGTGGGGTGGGGGTGGGGGTGGTGTAGAAATTCAAAAAGTCCAAGGAAAAATCTCATTATCTTTTGATTCAATTTTTCAGTGAACTAGTTGAAGCCCCTACATGGCATCACTTATCGATGTGGTAACCCTGCTACATTTTCCTTGCAGGTCCCACTAAATGTTTCTTATTCTGCCTCTTAGTGAATGAATAAACTCCTTTGAGATGTGGATTAACATTTAAAACACAGGATGGTAAATGCTACATGCCTGGGGAAACTTTGTTGATGGATTCTCCCAGAATCCTATGACTCCCCCAGGGAGCAAGGCTTTAGATAGGAATTTTTTAGGGACCTGTCTGGTACCCTGTACTCATGGAGGAAGAAGAGGCCTGATAACTCCAATATATCCAAATGGATTCCCTGGACCCACTCATTCAAAATTCCAACGAATGCATTTTGGTATCTATTATTCTACTTTACTGAATGACTCAAAAGGGCTGGAGACATCTATAAGACTATGTATTGGGGTATCAGTATTGTGGTAGAAAATGGTGTGCGCAGCTGGAGCTATCAAAATAGCACTTTCCCTTCTTACACAACCCACTTTAAGAGAGTATATTAAAAATGAATGAAAACCTCCCCACCCTATCAAATGAAAAATGTAGTACCAACTGTAACCTAGTAGATTTAAACCAAGAATTCCAATAAGGAGTTTCATATAACTTTATTTAATAAATGTCCCTGCCTTTTTTAGAGCAGTGGCCCCAATCAGCCAACAGTAAGATGCATGTGACAAGAGCCTTGGATTGATTCCTGTATACACCCATGAAGCTGTGCACCCTATAAGCACACTGCCCCAGGCTGGGTAAATAATGCCATACACAGGGAAATACAGCCATTTATAATTTACATACATGCTGCAGTGCCAGGAAAAAAGTAAATATACTGAAAAGGCAGAATTATAAAATGCTACTAATATATGAAGAGGCTGTAAAAAGTTAGTAGAAAAGGTTCATTATCTTTCCATTCCATTTTAAAATACATTTTTTGAAGCCTCCTCATATCATCATGTAATGCTGCCAAACCAATGAATGATTAAAGTATAATTTTATGAGGAGTCCACGCAATTCTAATATTTTCACATTCAAGTTAGAAATTATTAAATTAGGGGAAAGACATTATGTTTCAAAATGCATTAAGGACAAAGGTTTAGTAAAACAAAAAATACTTACAATTACATCAAATTTGGAATAAATATCTACAACTTTTCCTAGAAATGAAAACATATGTTAGAAAAACATAAAATACAATTCATTTAACATCAATTTCAACCAGATAATGGTCAATAAATACGTGCCCTCAAATTCCAAACACATTGTTGTCCAGTTTTCTGACTCAGTGACCCTACAAGACAAAGTAGGAAGGCCCCAAAACGTTTCTACTGTTGTATTCTTTATGGAAGCCAACTGCCCAATCTTCCTCCCACAGAGCAGTAGGTGGGGTTCAAACCACTGACCTTTTGGTTAGCAGTTGATTACTTAATCACTGTCTCACCAGGGCTCATTATAAAACTAGTAATTAATCATTAATAAATAAGACTAACTTGTCTTTTAAAATGGACATGAAATCATGTCTTAACAGAAAATAAGTCAGTATAAAATTATAATTATTCTGCATGCATCTTCATGCTGAATTTACCACCAGATCTCAATGTTCACTTTCCACACTTATCTGATGTGCTAGGTCATTTAATAAGTAGTTTTACCCCAAGGAGCTAAACAGTCGTCTCTATTTTAACTGATATGGCCAAATACAAACCTGATTCATCGACAACAGGCAAAGCGGATATTCGTCTTTCTACAAATATGTTCAAAGCTTTAATAATAGGAGTGTCTGGATGTATAAAGGCAATGTTGTGGTACGTTCCTATTCCAAGCTCATCCAGGTTCTGCTTCATGAAGGCAGGCTTTGGCATATCAGACATCTAAAGAGGAAGATAAATGCAAATGTTCTAGAACCAAAATATTCTGTTTCAGTGTGCACATGTCCAGATTTGAGTGAAATACTATGCACAAGCAAATTAAAGTTAGTCTTCTCTAACAATCTACCTGGATGTCTGCATTAATATGAAAAAAAAAAAAAAAAGCAAAATAAACACCTGACATATTAGAATTATATCTTTTGTTCAAACCAGATCATACGCCCATACTTGAACTCTGATTACTTAATATCGAGCAGCACTAACATGTTAACATTTTTTCCCTTCTCCTCTTCCTCTACTGAAAGGTGGGCAGGAGAAGAGAACAGGCCTATTTGGGAAATTAAGACCTGGAAACCACCAAGAATCTTTTCTTCTTAATCATTCCTATCACATTCTGTTATAGGAGTTAGCGTTAAGTGGTATGTGTTGAGAACACACATTTCCACAGCCACTACTCAGTGTGCGCCGCTGGCTGTGCGGAACCTCAGGGAACTACCCTCATCCATCCCGCCTCCCCCTCCTGAATGCGCCCTTGCAGGACACTCCAGCTCTTGTCTACTAGGAGCAAGCACCAAGCCGGCGGAGCAGAGTTAGAAAAACCTTTAAAAATGAACTTCGCTTTTCTTGGGCTGTTTTCAAGGAGGAGGGAGAAATCAACAGAGAAAAGTCTAAGGATCACATTTTGACTACAGCGCAAAATAAGGTCTACGGTTTCAAAAATCCACCTTTTATAAAGGGTACAGTTGACTCCATCCTCCTGGTGTACCTTATAATTATCAGGAAAAGATGAACAATTAGAAGAAACAAAATGTTCAAGGCAAAGAGTTCATCAATATTCAAAGCATGAGAATCCTAGAAATTTAGAGAGAAAAAAAAAAAGAAAGGCCTATTAGGTCACATCTAGTGCACCTCCACACTGGACCGTCCCTGCCCGGCTCCTTCCTCAGAAAACCGTGACAACCAGGCCCTGAAACACATTTGTTAAATCTGCTTATCGACACATACATTTTGATCCGAAAACCTCTAGCTGAGTGGGATATTAGAATGTTTCAAATATTCTAATTACCATATTGGCCCAAATCTATGGCAGTCATGGGCAGAGGCAAACCTCGCCTGTTCTTATACAAGAGTCGACCCCAAAATGTGTGAAGGGACCCCCTCAAATGCCCACTCTCTTCATTCAGGGCAGCACAGCTCTAAGCATGACGCAACTTTGGAGTTTGACCTCCAGGGAGTCAAGGTGCCGCTGAGCGCTGCCTCCTGCTGGCAAGTGTCACAGTGCAGCTGCAGGGGCCAAAGCACACCATTCAGGCTGTACCGGGACCAGCCACCAACCTAGGCAGTAACCGCACCGCTTGTTACAGTGTCATCACCTATCACATACTGTCATTAAAAACACCTACCGGCAGAGGAGTACTGATGACTAGACATGCCCTATAGGTCAGTATTAGACACACAGTCAATGCTTATCAGCAATTAGCTCTCATGACTCAGTATTTTAGAATTATTATTCAAGTAAAAGAGCTGAAGGTCTGACATGTGGTGAACTCTTAAATACATGGCATCTCCTGACTCCCGCTCCCATAAAATCTCAACTGCTAGAGCCATGAGCCACTCATAGCACATGCCACAGAACATGCCCACTCAGGGCAGAAGAGCGCGCGCCTGGGGATCACCCCTACACGGATTCCTCCAAGGCGTCTCCTCGAGCTTCTCTCTTTATAAATTCCACTGTTTTTGTAGATCATTCTTTTTCTTCCTAGTTTCTTAGCATATCCTTAAATGTCAAAAGGATTATTTACACACGTAAGGCATTAAGTTATAGGACTGGTGTGATGGGCAGGCATTTCCCCCAGTCATCAGCTATCTATGTGCTTCCGGGCCAAAACGACCCTTCCGCATCCTATCCGTAAGATCTTTGGGTCCTTCTCCTCCCACAGTGCCATCTTATTTTCTTCTCTGAGGTGGTGAAGGAGATAGAAACACTAATTTGAGGGAGGTTTTTAATGGGTAGTCAATTCTTTTAAAATAACTGTTTAAATGAGCCCTCTGAGCCATTAATGAGCCCACCAGCTGGTTCCATTTGGCCAGTTATTTAAAACCTCAAATTTAGTACAAGTAATTAAAAGGAAAAATAAAAGCTCTCAAGTTCTCATCAGATTTTTATACCACCTACCAAACAAGTTTTAAGTGTTGATTAATTATGAAACCATTTCATTTCAAAAGCAGTTTTGGAAATCTATAAAAAAGATAGCCCTAATTTGGACCAACATGGTACTCTCTTGTCAAAATGTAACTTTGCTTTGAGTTTTTCTATCACTGATATAGTTAATAATGAGATATTAAGGTAATCTTGGGAACAGTTGTTTTGAACATGCTTTTAAAAACCACATTACTAATAACACACTATATATAAGGTGTTTTTTACAATATTTATTGGTTCAATTTTTTGGTATAGAAGATCTTTAATTAAACTATTTGCAATCTGCTCTATTTTCTAAGTGATAAAATATTCTAATTAAATACAGAATTTCAAGTATCTTTATAGACTTTTGATACCTGGACTAAAAGGTGATTGCTTTAAAATTGGAACCAACTTTGAAAATGCACAATTCAAACAGTAAGCTTCGAGAAACCAAAGGTTAGAAATGGAGACCTCTAAGCTAACAAATTCTTCTACCGATGGTAACAGGAGCCAAATTTACTTGAAGTAAATGAATTAAAGCAAATGAACTATGTCTTTAGAAACACTAAAAGCTACTTACAAAAAGCTGGAGAAACTTGAGGATTCTTTTGTGGGTAAGAATATAAAGTGCATTCCCACTGATAGGGTCAATAACTGGCAATCTGTGGATTTTATTTTTGATCAACGAGTATACAGCATCGAAGAGGCTGTGGGAAAACCCATTAAAGTTGTTAGGAGGCTTTAAAGGAAACTCTTGGACCATCCCTGCTTTGAAAGCATTCTCAGTGTTTTTTTTGTTGTTGTTTTTTTAATCTTACAATGTCAAAAGGTTGATCAACTTAAAACAGTATCTTGGAAGATTTTTAAATTGCAGGTTTCAGCATGCTTTAAAACACAATATATGTTAATATATCTAAAAGATGTGAACTACAAATATCCAGAAAGAGATTTTTTTAATGGTGCATTTTACTTTTTCTATGAAGTGGTACAGAATTTAGAAAGTGTTTAGGGAAATGTAGAAATGACTTCCCAAAGACTTGCATCAAGAATTTTGCTAAGAAGACTGCAGAAAAGGCAGCTCATTCTTGGGATGACCTCTGAAGTAACATTTAATACAGCTTTGATTTTAAAATAATTATTTTCTATGATAAGTACATACAACAGAAAGATTGCCTTTCTTAAAAGAAATCGTTTAAGTGTATAATTGAGTGACATATAAGTCATGTTCCCAATGTTAGCAACCATGACCATTTTTTATTTCTAAAGGACTTTAATCATCCTAAACAGAAACTCCGTACCCATTAAGCTACAACTTCCTGCCCAACTCCCCTTCAGTTCCCAGTAATCTCTGACCTACTTTCTGCCTCGATGCATTTCCTATTCTGTTTCAGGTAAGTGGAAACATACAGTATTTGTCCTTTGTGTCTGACTTGGCTCACGTAGCATAATGCCTTCTAGCTCCACCCATACGGTAGCATGGATCAAGATTTCCTTTCTCCCACTGGCTGTATAGTATTCCATTGCACATATGTACCATATTTTGTTTACTTTTCCATCTATCTGCTAATAGACCTCTGCTGTTTCCGACTCTCGTCTACTGTCAATAGTGCTGTCATGAACAATGGAGTGGAAGCACCTTACAGATCCACTTTAAACTTCAGTGTGTGTCAGGATCACTGGAGGAATTGCTTAGAAGCATATTCTAATTTAAAAGGTTGAAGATAAAGCCCAGGAATCTACAATATTAACAAGTTCTCTAGATGGATTTCACTGCAGGCCATCTGGATTTTCAAAATTGCTTATTATGATACATTTTCTAGCCCATTATCAATTGTTTGGGGCACAAATTGCTGCTATTTCTATCACCTCTACATTTAAAAAATATAATAGTTGGAATTATGGAAGCTGCTTCCTATCTGGATCAAAAATACATTTTAAAAACTGTATTTGCCTATTATAGTAACAAAACAGATAAAACTGAATGACTAAAAACTTTCAAAGAAGAAAAATGCTAAGTTTACCTTGCATCTGGAGATATATTCACTAAAGGCTTAAATGTTTCTTGTAAATAAAGCTCTGTATTTGTAGAAAGAAAATACAGTTAGTAATTTATCTGTTGTTTGCAGTTAATAAATAAAGTACCCTTCAACTGACAGTTATTAGGAATAAAAAGTCGAATCAAAGAAATTTAATTTACCCAAAACTGCTGGGTTAATTATAATCCTGATTATTTTTTTAAAATTCCAAGTGGTCTCTGGGATGTTGCCTTTGTAGAAACCTCTAACTATTTAAAAAAATAATCTTTAATAATGTTTAAAAATCAGAAGAAAAAAATGAGCTGATACCAAGGGCTCAAGTAGAAAGCAAATGTTTTGAGAATGATGATGGCAACAAATGTACAAATGTGTTTGACACAATGGATGGATGTATGGATTGGGATAAGCGTTGTACGAGCTCCCAATAAAATGATTAAAAAAAAAAATCAGAAGGAAAACCAGGAAATTTGATAGGAGAATACTAGCACCAGTAGCCAGAATGTTGATGATATTCAGACTTGAAAACCAGTTGCAAAGATTGCTTACAACAGCAGACATGTTACGGGAAGTGCAAAGCTTAACTCTGTTGTGATTTCAAATTCAAGAATTCCCTTCATTTGGCCCCTATATTTCCACCCAACGGCTTTGGAGGGTATTCTCAATAAGAAATACAAGCTTATAATCGTTAAATTAGAATTTAAAAAATGATTCTATTACAGTACTGTAATGGTAAATGGTGAATTTCCATGCTATAAACAAAATTCAGTTTTAAACTCATTTTCATGCTATTTGAGCCAAATTTTAGATTCATGTGTTCTGTTTCTCCATCCTTTTAAAGAAATAGCTATTACAATTTAAATATGAGCAGAGCCTTGTTATTGTTCACGTTGGCATTCTGTTGGTACGGTTTCCTACAGAAGCACATTCATGAGTGGAGGCCCCACTTTAGGTGGTGCATGGGTACTTGTCAGCGCAGTCTCTATATTCTCAGTTCTAGAACAGGGCCTTACGTGCTACAGGTGCTCTATACATGGCTAGGAAACAGAATGCTAACAATTACGGGGCTATGGCACCTTATTGAAAAATGAAGCTACAAATAAATAGAATGCTCCCTTAAAGAACAGTTTATTACTGGACATATTTAACACATGAAGTATAAATATTTTTTCCACTGATGTTAAAAGATATAGGGGGGGAAAAAAGATACAGGAGATCAAACAATAACGCTTACCCCTCCATGTTTCAATCTTATGCTCCTCTAATTCATAAATCTGTACCTGCAAATAAGGAAGATGCATATTTATAACTGTTAGCGTGCACAACATGAGAAAAAAGAAAACTATTCTTTCGTAATGACTGCCGAGTCTGATAACTCAGCTGCTGGGACCAATCCAGTCGATACTTTAGAAATACTGGCATCGTCAATGAGAAACGCCTACAATCCTCTGCATTTCCTTGAAGGTAGATATTTTATAAAGTTAGAACTTAGTCAACCAGTATACTACTAACCTTTCAGTAATTTAATCTGAAAATTTCTTAGACACTTTAGTGTTAAAACTCATACAGAGAGATACACTCAATCCTTTAGCGATACAGAAATTGTTAGCATATGTAATTTTTAAAAGGCAACTGGTGAAGTAATACACTAAAATTGAGTCCAGAGAACCGTGTATGACGGGCGAGTCATGTCCCCTTACGGAGGCAGAGTGGGTACATGTCTGTAGGGAGAGCAGCACAGGCTGCTAAGAAAGAATTTTACAATCCCTCAGAATAGTTCTAAATCTCAGCTCTAGCTTTACCGTGGTTGCTCTCCTTGGGCAGATTACTCACCTTTTCAGGACTTTTTCTTCTACTATCCTGTTAAATGAAAACACTCTCCAAGTGAGCTTCTGCGAGCATTCTTTAAGTTAAAGTGCTGCCAGAAAGAGGCTTCTCTGTTACCCTTCTGGCTGCTCTACCCCAGATCAGCTTTTAAAACCATTACGATGCCACTAGCATTATGTAGGGCTTATGGGGACATCTGAAATTTAAAAAATCCAGTCTTTTTTTGAACCATTAAATCTCAACGGTTGGCAACTTTAAGATGATTTTGTAGGAAAACGTCACTGCAGAGTTGAAGAAAGATGAGTTCCTACGCTCCTAGAAGGCTCAGGGGTTCAGAGAAAGTAGAGGTGAACTGAGTGTTAGTCAAGGGAAGCTTTGAGAAAGTAGGATATCAGCCATGGCAGGTGGGATTTAGAGAAACAATGAAGAGAAACTTGAGTAGGGTTAAGCATTAAAGAGAGGAAAAAGACTATCTCATACTCAATTTAAAAAACAAAGAGCCAAACAAAAACTCACTGCGGTAGAACAGATTCCACCTCTTGGAGCCCTTCCATGTGTCAGAATAGAACTGTGTTCCATAGGATTTCAAAGGATGTTAATTCCTATAGAAGCAGACTGCCTGGCCTTTCTTTTGATGCACCTCCTAAGGATACTCTAACAGCCAACCTTTCAGTGAGTAGCTGAGTGCATTAATCATTCTAATACCTGGGGACGCCCAGAAAATTCTAACACAGCTAACAAATTCTAAAAGGCTACAAGAGTAGTGAACTTTGTAAGACAAATGGTCAACATATAAAAAAAATTAATCGTGTCTTTATATACTAATGATGAACACTTGACAAATAAAAGCAGAGAGTTTTCCAATAGCATTTTTCCTGGTCCATCATTATAAAATGATTTCATAATTGGAAAATGGAGAAAAAGGTATTTCCTAAAACACAAAAACCTTTGGGCTGTAAATTAGCCATAATGGTCTACCAATTTTGATTTAATTACTTACTGCTGGAATCTGCTATATGGCATTTGATTGTTTTTATCAAAATCTGTTTATCTAACAATCACATTTGTGCTCGTTTGGTGAGTCTACAATGTTGTGGGAGTCACGGTGTCAATTCATCTCAGTGAGGGTCTTCTTTTTTTAATGACTTTACCAAATGTAATGTCCTTTCCCAGGGACCGGTCTCTTCTGATAAAATGCTCAGAGTACATCAGACAAAGTACTGCTATCCTTGATTCAAAGTAGCATTCTGGCTGGATTTCTTCTAAGACAATTTGTTTTTCTGGCAGTCCACGGTACTTCCAATATTCTTCCCCAATACCCTAATTCAAGTGCATCACCTCCTCTTTACTCACGCTCCAACTTCCACATGCAGATAAGGTTACCAAAAAGACAAGGCTTGGCTCAAGAGCACCGTAAGCCGTCAAAGTGACCTTGCTTTTGAGCACTTTAAAGAATTCTTCTACAGCAGATTTGACCAATTCAATCTGCTGTTTTATTTCTTGACTGTTGCTTCCATGAGCATTGATGGTGGATCCTCCCTAAAATTAGCCAGTAACAATTAGCCAAAAAATGTCAAGAACTTATTTCTTCAATTTTATTTTCTTTATTTATTTTTAATAAGATATAACCTTTTACAACAATGCACAAATGTGCTTGGCACAATGGATATATGTATGGATTGTGATGAGTTGTATGAGCCCCCAATAAAATGATTAAAAAAAAAAAGAATTGAAGGGAGTTGTTATCAAGGAGTTCAAGAATAAAGTGTTTTGAAAATGTTGGTGGCAGTAACTACAATTATGCTTGATCTAATTGCATTATGGATTGTTATGTTTATTATTTGTAAGAGTTCCCAATAAAATGATTAAAATGTACTTCTGATTGCATGGATGAGCAAGATGACTGCTTTTGGTACCGAGCTGTAGAGACTGGATTAATTCTCTGTGTGGCATAGCTGGGACCTGTGGGTACACCGAGACACGGGGCAGGCTCCTCTGTGGTGAGGTCAAGCCAGCTGGGTGCAGGGTGCCTGGATCTTAGCTTCCCTAGGAGAGCCAGTGCTGGGGGCCGGGGTCACAGTGGGTCCACAGGAAGTCCGTGGCTTGGGAGCACAGCTTGTCCAATGTTGTTCTTTTTCTTTTTTCATTAAAAGGTGATTTTATTGGGGGCTCCTACAGCTCTTATAACATTCCACACATCAATTGTATCAAGCATATCTGTACATATGTTGCCACCATTATTTCCCAAACATCCACTTTCTATTTAGCCCTTGGTATCAGCTCCTCTCTTTCTCCAACCCCTTCTTGCTCTTGCTACTCCTTGAGAAATTATAAACCATTATTATTTTCTTAACACTGTTCGCTGTCTCCCTTCCCTCATGGTCTCCATTGTTCGACCCATGGGGTGTGAGTGTGTGTGGTTATGTGTCGATCATTGTGATTGGTTCTCCCTTCCTTCCTCCTCTCTCCCATTCCCCCGACTCTCCTGGTAGCCTACTCCCTCCTGGTATCACTACTCACATTCCTGTTCCTGGATTCCTTGAGTTGTGAGCTCTCACCTTTTATCTGTACCTGTTCATATGATCTGGCCTAGCCTGCAGTGAAAGGCAGAACTGGGGTCAAGACAGTGGGGGGTGAGGAAGTCTCAAGGAACGAGAGGAATATTGTGTTTCATTGGAGCTATACTGTTCCCTGGTTGACTCATCCCTTCCTATGACCCTTCTGTGAGGGGATGTCTCATTGTCTACAGATGGGTTTTGGGTCTGTGCTCCAAGCCCTTTAGTTCTCAACAACATGTTTTTGTTTGTTTGTTTGTTTGTATGTTTAGGGTCTTCTGATGCCTGTTCCCCGATCCTGTCGACACCTCATGATCGCACAGGCTGGTGTGCTTCCTCCATGTGGGCTTGTTGCTTCTCTGCTAGGTGGCCGCTTGTTTAACTTCAAGCCTTAAGACCCCAGACGCTATTATCTCTTGATAGCTGGGTACCATTCACTTTCTGCACCACATTTGCTTATGCACCCATTTTGTCTTTAGTGATTTTGCTGCGAGGGTGAGCAACACAGAATGCCAGGTTGTTAGAACAAAGAGTTCTTGTATTGAGGGAGGGCTTGAGCAGTGGCCTGAAGTTCCTCTACTACCTCAGTGTATTGCCATATAATATATGTACATAGGCCATATATGTCATGGGGCAGGAAGAAGGTAAAAGGAAACAGAGGAAAGATCTAGGAAGCAAAGCTATGGATAGAAGTATAAGCATAGGTGTATACAAATGTAAATACATTAGCCCATAAAAATAGAGGTATTGGCCAATGTTGCATTCTTATGTAACATTCAATAGGTTGTAAATTTTAACCCAAAACATTGGTATGTAATATGCCACATTTAATTCCCTACAAGCCAAATCTCATTTAAGCCTTCTCCAGTAACACGGCCCTCATCTCTGAGACCTCCCTACCCATTCCATCAGTTTAAAGAAGAAAGTCTGCATGGTCAGAAAACTAGGGGAGGAGCTAGGTAATCTGGCATGAGCAGGGCTTCTAACACTATTTGTAAATTTTTTGGAAGATAGTTCTGTAGTAGAAGCCAGGTATTGGACCTGAATGAGTCAGTGCCTTTCATAGTGGCCATAGATTTTCTTTAAAAACCCAAACCCAAAAAACTTTGCTGTTGTTCTCAGCTTTGTAGCATTTGGTGACCATCTTCTGCAGACACTCAAGTGAAATAATTTTATACATGGTCCTTCATGTACGTGGTACCTGGTTCTCTATCATTTAAATCATACTCTAAATCTTCTCCCTTTTCTTTTCTATTTTTATTAGCACTTAATCCACAAATCATATAATTCAATCATATAAAAAATGATAGTCATTACCACAATCAATCAAATCAATTTTAGAACATTCCCCTCGCCCCATGGTTTTAAAATGAGTTGTGTAATCACAACCTAGTGCTCCCTCACCCCTATTTCTGAAAATTTAAGTGTTACTTCCTTTTTTAAACTCTAAAATAAATATAGCTCATTGCTGGGGTAACTGCATTAAAATTATATTTCAACAGACTTAGAAAGAGAACGCTGTGGCAGTCTCATCTCAAGAATAAGGTCTGCAGTCAGTTGCCTAGAGAGGAATTCGGTGGGAGGGAGGACCTCATGCACTCACAGGTCTTAGGAAAATCCTCTACATGTCCCTAATGCACCTATTGATCAGTTATCATAAATTTAATGATATTTAAATATCTACATCAGTGTCATTGGAACTGGAAAGAGTGACCTGCTAAAGTAGTTACCTACACTTTATCTTGAATTATGGGCTACAGTATAAACGTTTTTAATTGGTAAGGGTGGGAGCACTGAATAATTTTATTTTCTTTCTAAAAAGGGGGTGGTAGGCCAAATAAATTTGGGGACCTATGATTTAGATAATAAACAGCATGTACATTTTCACTAACCCAAGGAATTCTTTTTATTTTTCTTGAGAGTAACTTCTTCAAGTTTCAAATGTATGAATGATTTGGGACAAAGTCAGTTGTATACCAGAATTTGTAGCTTTATACTGAAGTTCCCTGCCAATTAAGATAAATCTGAAAACCAACCACTGCCACCACTCCTGTACCAAACGAGAAAGAAAAACCCACGGGCTTGGAACATGCCCACGTCCCTTAGAGAAATGGTATACTGACAGAAGTTCTGTTGGCACTCACCATGGGTGACTTGTAGTATCTATGGAGTATATTTATGAAATCTGTAATTGTTAGCATTCCTGGAACAAAATGTACATATATATATGTTAAAAGTAAAACTAAGACAACTTATAAGGAGACACTCAAAAGACAAGAGAACCTGAAATGTTTATCATAAAGGCTTTTAAAGTACAAACTTTAAAGAACATATTGTTTTAAAATTATTTAAAACTACGAATCTATGAATTATCTATATGAAACTGACATAAAAGTTAGCTTGAGTTAAATATGATAGAAAGTACAATGGATTTAATCACAGTATTGGCAAATCTATGAGAGAAAACTGATAGAAATATCACACGAAACTTGCTCTTACAAGTACATTATTCAAAACCCTTAAAAATAATACATTACTCAGTGTCAGCTTTAGAAACAGATGGTTTCCTAGGAATCATTCTAAAGCCATGGTTTTGAGAGAAGACTTTAATAGTCACCATTTATTGAATGCAAACTATTTGTAGACAGGACTACAAAGATAAAAGAGAGATGAATCTTCTCCCTTAAGAAATCAAATTGAAGGAGAGGCAGACATAAGTAGACCACCTCAAAATAATGCAATGAGCACTTTAAGAGAATATATGCTTTGTCTGCTATGATTTATAACATGAAAACTTATGACATTTATATTTTAAATTGTAACGATTTAAGAATACACCAAAGACACCAATTATTTTTATGTTATTTTCATTTTCCTATCTGAAAGGTGTATATCAAGGATTTGTGCCAAAATTGGTATACCACATTTCGGGCCAGCCTAAGCTAAGGGGACTAACTCACAAGACGACCATGTAAATCTGCTCACCACGCTCACAGGAACTGGCAAAGGCGCCTAAGTGAAAAACACGCTCAATGAAAAGAAGGCCAATGAAAGGACACAGGTGTTCTGAATTTATTAGCAGCCTCACCTTCCGCAGTATCGCAAAGCAAGAATGTTCTCTAATTTGGTAACATGCTTACTCCATGGAACTTAAAATCACTATGAAAAGACCGTGGGCCTTCAGCTTTTAAGCTTTCCTGTGTTGTGTGGTCACTAGGCCCCCATTGCTTACCTACAAAACTTTGTTTTTTACTCTCCCACAGTGGCGCTGCTCGAACACCATTGGCTACCAAGGCAAAGAAGGCCTTTTTAACCTGAGAAAAAGAGAGAAATACTTTAAAAGTCAACCTATGATGAACAAAAATATCTGACCTTATCAACTCTCCTCAAATTTTGTAAGATTGAGGCAATACAAATAATTGAATGTATTAATACTATCAAAACACTTTTGTATAACACCCACAGGCATGTGAAACACTGGAGATTCTTTTTCTAAAGTGAAACAATTCAGTTGTTTATCCTCAAAAGGATTTTTTCAGTTGAAGGTATTTTCTAAAGATTTGTACACATTTTTTATATACCTGAAACTATATAAAATAGTCTAATTCTTTGTATCTGTAGTTAAGAATTCATTTGAAAACACTGAAGGTTATATCAAATTATTTGAAATGTAGATGAATTTTAATGTTTAATAATGAAACAAGCAAACATTTTCTTTTCCCTGAGATTGAGAAGGAAGAGTTATGAGGGACAGCATACTTGTAGATTTTTGTATTTACTAAAGACATTCACTGTGCACCTATTAGGTATCCTGCACCATTAAAAGCATGCTCAAATAAGATATCTCAATTAATACTCATAACAAACATCTTTTGGTTTACCAGACCAGCTCCAACAGCCAACAGCTCAGTGCTGAAAACGATCCTCTCAACATAGCCAGCAGAAAAGCATACAGAAAACGGTCTAACCTTAATTAATAACCAGAGAAGTACTAACTTAAAGTACCATGGAGACCTGCTAAATGAGCAAATATTTTAAAGTTATAACTCCTAAGCTTATGCTGTTATAAACCATTTGGTGGCAACATTAACTGATAAAATAGTAAAACTGAACCAAAAATCACTCAAATAGTCCTACTGTCTGTGCAATTGCTTAGTGTTTCCTGTTGAATTATTTAGTTATACTGAATTTTTACAAGTGGGATTCTTTTATTAAAAAAATTTTTTATTAATAAAATTTTTTAATGTAATATTTCTTTCTAGTACTGAGATCTGCAAAAATATCTATCAGTAACAGAAGATTATTTGTTAAATATTGGCACACCAGTACAACTATCATATGGCAATTAAAATAGTATAATTATGAAGACTACATTGAATTAAAAAGTTGGTCATTGAAAAATGTGACAGTGAAGTGTCATTTATACTAATTCTATGATACATTTGTTAAAATGAAAAAAAGGGGGGAAAGGTAAAATATTAAACTGACATATTAAGGAGTTGGTACTATAAAAGTACGATTTCTTGAAAAAATTAACCAAAAAGAAAATTATTCTATTCTCACCCATAACTCCAGAACTCCTTGCCAGTTGAATAGTAAAAAGGCCATCCAACCTATCTGCAGCAGAACACTGGCAGGGAGCTGCCCAGGGCCCAGGCAGGAGTCAGAAGGGGATGTGGAATAAGGGATGCTGATGTCAGATGGATCTTGGCTCAAAGCAGAGAAGACCAAAAAGATGTTTACTTGTGTTTTATTGACAATGCTAAGGAATTTGACTGTATGGACCATAACAAACTAGGGGTAGCCTTGAGAAGAGTGGGAATTCCAGACATTTGACTGTGCTCATGCGGAACTTGTACCTGGATCAAGAGGCAGTTGTGTGAACAGAACATGGGAATACTGCATGGTTTGAAATCCTAACAACAAGTGCGAGGATGGTGCAGGACCGGGCAGTGTTCCTTCTGTCGAGCACAGGGTTGCTATGGGTCAGAACCCACTAGACAGTATCTAACCACCACCACAAAAGGACAGCTTTCAAGACATCAGCTGTCCAGCTGACATCCAGATGGCCTGCCCATTAAGTGGCCTTGCCACATGCCTGGAACAGTCTAAAACAGAAATCAGGTTACCCCTCATGACTAGTTTTTGAAAATGCATGATACATCCTTTATTTTTTATTAGTAATTTGCTCAAATATGGAATCCAGGACTGAAAGCACATTTCTCACACTGTTACTTGAAAAATATTTTCTGTCATCTCTAGTCTAAGGGCACGCTGAGCTATTATTCTTTAATACTCTCGCAATCTCTTTTCTAAAGTCCCGTAAAAATGTTCTTACAATCCCCAATCATACAAAGTTATGATTCTAAAATTTCTGAGCCTCACATAATTCTGAGGTGTCACTTTTGAGAATCTGCAGTCACTGAGTCACACTGGTTTTCTTGGCACTACTGGGTGTATTTGGAAGGGGATGGGACATGTCTTCCTTCTCTCCTGTGCAAGCTATTGTCCCTCAGCTCCAGGCTCATGCTTCTGTTATGGTCTGCTTTGTGATGCCGAGGCTCTGCAAACCCCATTTCTGCTTCACCAGCTGGGTCTATCCTCAGCTCTGGAAGCAAAGGAGGCTAGGATAATACTGCAAAACTGAGTAAGAAGGTGCTGCTTCCTGTTGGCTACCTGTTAGCTTCCTGGCTGACTGCTATTCCTGTGTGCGTCACATTAGCATTCTTTCTGTACCTGGCCCCTTGCTTCCTTCACATAGCAGCAGCTGAATCTGCAGTTTTTCTATCATGTCCAGAACAAGCTCTATGAAACCTCTACTCCCAAAGAGAGACACAACAGCAGCCAAGGAGCATATCCCTCAGGGACTGGAGGTGGTCCATGGATACAGTGGACCTTAATTTTATCAGGCATCAGTATCGCCCAAAGAAGCCAGAGGTGCATGAGGGCCTGGGCAGACACACATCCTGGGGTTTCACCCCCGGAGTTTCTGGCTAAGGAGTCTGCAGAGGTACTTACCCAATGATTTCCATTATCTCATTAAGTTCCTAGGTCAGGCTCAAGTTGTAGCTCCAGAAACCATCCTTGGAGAATCACAGCTTTAGAGGTCTTTATCGACCCTTTCAGTAACAGAGTTTTAATTTACAGTCAATTAACATTAGTCTGTGTGATTTTTCTCTTCCTCTAACACTTGCAATTTCTGCAAGGACAAAGTACCCAGTAAGTATGGACTAATCTGTAGTCAATTACTACTAAGTAAGCACAAGTAAGCTTGTGCTTATCTTGCTTTCCGGGTACTCCATCCCTGTGTCAAAGATTGCAAATTTAAAAGGCTTTCACTCTGCAGAAAGAAGATATGTGCTTGGGATATAGCTGCAAGCCATACTTAAAGTAGAATCTTTGACACTGTAGAAAAAATGTGTAATTGTTCACTCAACCCAAACTCACTGCCATCCAGTTGATTCTGACTCATCGTGACCCTGAGGGTTTCCGAGACTTAACTCTTTACAGGGACAGAAAGCCTAACCTTTCTTACATGGAGCTTTTGAGGGTTTTGAACTGCTGACCTTGGGGTTAGTATTCCAACGCATGACCACTACACCACCAGGGCTTCCAAAATATTCAATCTGCAGCCTGAGAAAACAACCAAAGAAGCTGGCATCTATGAAAGACGCAGCATCAAGATAGAAAGAAGAGGAATCAGCAACCTGCAATATACAGATAAGCCAACCATCTTTACTGAAATACACCTCAATATAAAGAAAGCAAAAATTCTCAAAACCAGAAGAATATGCAACATCAGGATAAAAAGCAGGAAAGACTAGAGTTGCCAAGGATTTTATTTTACCTGAATCTATAATCATTGCTCATGGAAATAATAGTCAAGAAATCAAAACATCTATTGCAGTGGGAAAATAAGCTACAAAAAGCAAAGCAAAACAAAACAAAACAAAAATCCCACCTCTTTAAAAGGCTTAAAAGAAAAGCTATCATGAAGATCTAAAGTTCTCAATCTCACATGCATGTGAAATCTGGAGGATGAATAAGTAAGACTGAAGAGGAATCGATGCCTTTGGATTATGGTGTTGGCAAAGAGTATTGACTATACCAAGGAGTGTCAGAAGAAAGAACAAATCTATGTAGGAAGAACAGCCCCAGAGCATTCCTTAGCAATAGGGCAGTGAGACATCATGCTTAGCAAAGGGGAGTCAGTGAAAACACATACATTGACACAGTAGCTGCAGAAATGGGTCAAAGGCAGTAATAGCTCTGAGGTGGGGCAGGACTTGGTAGTGCTTTATTTTGGAGTACACTGGGTTGCTATGAGTCTGAAATGACTCTACAGCATCTAAAACCAACAGAGGGTCCAACCGAATAAACCCCAAACCATGAACATCGGGTATACTCACTTGTAACGTCGTATCAAAGACAACAAGCTTTGAACTTGTAGGAACAATGTCATAACACTTGTGTGATCTCATGAATCGCATGTATACGCCACTTTCAGAGTCTTCTGCTAAAAAAAAAAAATCAGTAACAATGAACTTCTTCAAGTTGATAAAGGGTCTTGTAAAACAAAAACCTACTGCTCTTATCATATTTAATGGTGAAAGATAAATGGTTTCCTCATCATACGGCAATGGGACAAGGGCTCTATCCTCACTAATTTTGTTCAACACTGTAATGGAAGTCCCAGAGTCAGTGCAAAAAAGTACAAAAATAAATGGCAGATGTATTGAAAAGGAAAAATAAACAACCACCCTTTATTTCCACATGGTAAAATTGTCCAAGTAAAATGTTCCTAGATCAAAAAAAACCCAACCAAATAAACAAAAAAACACAGCCACAAGATACAGTGTTATATTAAACTATTCTAAGGTGTTTTTAGATTAGCAGTGAACTATGGAAATTATTTTTAAGAGACACTAATTAAAACAGCACCCCAAATGCATACAATACCAGGAATAAACTCTACAATGTGAAGATTTCTATACTTAAACTATTAAATTTTTTGGAGAGAATTCAAAGAGAAATAAAGTAGAAAAATACACTATATTCATAGATTGGAAAACTTAATTTTGTTCAGGATTTTTATATTTATATAAATGAGGCATGTTTTGGTATCATTGTAAAGCTGATCTTAAAAAATGCAGAGTACTCTTTTGTTCGAGAGTTGATATAAAATTCGTATTATTTCTTCCAGAAATAGTTAGTAGATTTCATTAATAAAGCCACCTGGAACTGTGACTCACAACTTAGATGATGAAGTCTTTGAATGACAGAACCTTGATGTTAGGTGCCTGTGAGTCTGTCTTGTGCGGACCCTGAGCACAACATACCGAAACACTGCCTGATCCTGTGGCATCCTCACCGCTGTTCCTGTCTGAGCCCACTGTCGTGGCCGCTGTGTTAATCCATCTTGTTTAGGGCTTTCCTCTTTTTCTCTGTCCCTCTACATGACAGCCTTCTCCAGAGGTTGGTCTCTACTGATAACATGTCCAAAGAACATTAGACCAAGTCTTGTCATCTTTGCCTCTAAGGAGCATTCTACCTGTACTTCTTCCAAGACAGATCTGTTTTTATTTTTCGTAGTCCATGGTACTCTCAATATTCTTCACCAGCACTATAATTCAAATGTATTTGGCCTTCCTTATTCAATATCTAACTTTCACATGAATCTGAAGCAACTGAAAAGACCATGGCTTGGGTCAGGGACACCTTAGTCCTAGAGTGACATCCTTGCTTTTCAACATTTTAAAAAGGTCTCGTGCAGCAGATTTTGCCAATGTGTCACTTGATCGCGTCTACAGCTTTCATGAACGTTGACTGTGGTCCAAGCAAGACAAAATTCTTGACAACTTCAATCTTTTCTCCATTGAACATGATGTTACCTATTTGTCTAGTTATGAGGATTGTTTTCTTCACATTGAGTTGTAATTCACATTGAAGGCTGCACTTCTTGATCTTCATCAGCAAGGGCTTCAAGTCCTCACTTTCAGCAAGCAAGGTTGTGTCGTCACTGGAACATTAACACTGGCATTTGTGCCCTGCTCCATTCACTGGGTCCCGGGCTCAACTACCACAGAAGCCCCTCCTTTCAGGCAAAAGGGGTCCCTGAAACAGAGAACTTGGGCAGGCCAGGAATACGTGGAAGGGCTTATCTGCTAAAGTGGCTATGAGACAGAATGGATTTGAGTGACGTGAGTTTGGGTTGTCTTTGGTGCTAGTTGCTGAGGAACAGCGAAAGACAAAAATGATTCCTGCCTCGTAGTTACCACAAACATGTGGAGGAGATAGATATTAAGTATTATTGTACTGTCAAAGGAGAAGTATGGAATTTGCAAACAGGAATAAATGGTCATCAATCGACAGATAAATGAAATGTAGTCAGCGTGTTTCCATCTTTCCTGAAACATTTACTTAACAGAATCCACAGGGGGCTCTTAACATGGAACAAGAACCCTTAGAGGTGCAATGTTTAGTTAAAGCACTTGGCTGCTTAACCAAAAGGGATGTGATTCAAACCCACCAGTCTCTCTACTGGCAATCTCTTTTTATAAACATTTACGGCCTTGGAAGCCCAATGGGGAAGCTCTACTCTATCTTATCGAATAGCTATGAGTCAGAATTGAATTTGTGGCAGTGGGTTTGGTAGGGAAGAATGAAAACACAGAACTGTCTCATAATTCAGCTCTGATATCCACCTGTGCTCCTTTATTGTTAAAGACAATGCATCCTACACTGTGAAAGTTGTATTTTCTTTTAAGCCTATTCAGTGGAAATTTCAAAGATCCCCACAATCAAACAAAAGTTACACTAATATTTAACTTATACATTAGTTGTACAAAGTAAATATAAATTAAATATCTGATGGGGCTATATACCTAAAATTCAATGAATAAAACCAAAAGTGGTATAATAAAAGATAAAAATAAGACAATCCATCTCTCAGAAAGGAAGTCTTATAATACTCTGTTCACTAATTAAATAATAATCTTTACAAAAGAAATTTGCATATTATTGATACAAATTTTGACACATACCGACATATCCCAAAATACAAATTTAAGGTATTGCAGAGTAGAAATGTTCGAAGTTTTAGAATTCTTAAACCTTGACTTGTTTTGCATTAAGTATTTTTGGAGTACCATCTTAAATTCTTATACTGGTTATTAAAATATTTAAATATATATTTTACTTTAGAGTAGTTTTAAACATATGTTTAAACTGTGAAGACCGTGTTCCTATATATATACTGTTAACATATAACTTTACTGTGGTACATTTATAACAACCTATGAACCAACATCGACACACTAGTATTAACTAAAGTCCAGAGTTTTT